ATAAAACTTTTGCTAGTTTAAGATCTAAGTAGAATTTCAAGGGTGGCAGATGTTTGGATGCAGTTCTGAGTACACTATAAATGTGAAGATGAATGAGCTCAGTGGGTTGCTTTAAATACAACTTCAGTTTAACTTACTGCATTAGAATAGTATTTTTGGTAAAGTTGTTAATGATGAAATTCAGTAGGTTCTCCAACAGCACTTCCTGAGTGTTGAGGGCTTAAGACAAAAGTTTACTAACAGCCAATTTCAGAAAATGGGTGTAGTGTACTTAGAGATCAGTGCTGGCGCTGTGGACCTTGTGCTCTGATCAGTGGGGGGTAATGTCTTTCTCACTGTTACACTTTTGATATTAGTGATAGGAGTGTGCCTTCCCTGTCTGGACTTGCAGAGCAGGAATTGTGTATGCTTGGCAGTCCATGCTGGTTATCATTTTGAGGAGCAGTTTATTCTGCTCACAAACCAAACAGTAAGCATACTGATGGCTGTGCCAGTCCTCAAATGAAGGCGTTAATGGGGAATCAGTTTGGCTCTTTTGCAGCCTTACCCAGTCTCCGTGTCTGCCTGGCTGCGTTCTGGAGCATTCAGTTTAGTGGTCTTGCTGTATTTCCCTGGGAAAATAATTGGATTTTTCAGTCATCCCTTATCTTGTTATGGGGTGGAGAGGCAGTGCCTGCAGAGAAAGGGACTGTACAGTGCCTTTGATTCAGGACTATCAGGACTAGCAGTTTACCATTCCTGCACTGTTACTTGGAAGCAAAGTTTTTATTCTGAGCTGGGAAGAGAGCTCTCATACAAACACTACTGCTGTTTCTCATGGGGATGAGGCAAACTTATGCCTAGTACTTCATAGATGCTAGGGTATTTAGCCTAGGGAAACCTCATTTGGATGGTTTGGAAATACGAAGTTCGAAAGATTAATGCTAATTAATCTTGAGGTTATTCCTGCTTAGAATCAACATTGGTAAATTAGATTAATGCACTTGGCAGGGTAACTCACAAGGAACAAAGCAAACAGAAGAGTCTAAGTTATGGTGGGACTGGATTATGCTGGCTTTTCCCAGTATAGCACTTTATCTATTGTATGTCTCTTGTGTAACTTCCATATTGGGCAGTGCTCAGCTGGGAATGCCTCAGTAAGGTGATTCAGTAAAAGTAAGGTTTCAGATGAATCAGGAGAACGGAGTCAGTGCCAGGCACTGCATGTTGCTTTCTCAGGGAGAGATTATAAGCAGTCCACAGATCTTTTCATATGTAGGTTGCCCCTGAGAGCTGCAGGCAGAACACAAGATCACAGTGAAATTGACTTTCCCCGGTGTAAGGTGGTCCCTGGATGTCTTTCAGAACCAAGCTCCCTGGGTCCTTGGTTTCTCAGCCTTTTTACGTGCTAGAAGAACCAATTTGGATTTTCTGCACCAGGACTTAAGCTCTTGAACTGAAACAAAACACCCTACTTAGGCTGCATCTGCTCTGAGGTGTTGTTTCATGTCTCTTATCGGCTAACTGGGAGTGGAGAGCAGTGCCTCCCACCACCTGAAACGGTGCAATCATCACTTTGCTTTGTCGAGTCACAACAAGTGGCTCAAAAAAACAGCTTAGCAGCATATGGGAAAAAAATTCTTCCCTGTATGTTGTTTCCACACCAGTAAGGCTTACAAAGCTCAAACTTACAGCAACCTACTTCTCAGCCCAATATGAAATTGCTACAAAACCAGTGGTTAAAATGTCACTGATGCATCCCAGGACATGCTTTCCCTCAATCAGTCCCTTGACGGTTAACATCGGTGCTCTATTTAATGTGTTGTTATAACTTTGTTCAGATCAGGGAAGCTAACATTACCGGGGTGTGGTTCTGTAAAGCACAAGCATGTTTCCTGTGGTATCTTAGCTCATGCAAGCCTCTGAAATAGCACAGCCTGAACTGTGAGGACAGATCTCATTCGAGACTTCGTCACTGCTCCTAATCCTGAGGTTGCTGCTCATCTTGAGCACAAAGGGCTTCTTCTAGGGGCAAATGTAAATCTCCTGCTACTAAATGTAGTAATTGAAGGACTATAACTGGTAAGGTAGCATAAGTGCTCTTAAGTGAGTGACACTGAAGGAATTTTGCTGGTTCCAACATGTATCTTTGTTGGCACACTAAAATAAGGTCCCACGTCTTACAATAAGATTTCTGCATGAATTACATATTCTGTAAGAATGCTTATTTTGAAGCAGCTTTATTTTAATTTTTAGGCTCTGATTTGGAGTGTTGCTTAAAAGCTATTCAGGCCCAAGATGGAAAGAGCTGGCCACAAATGTTTCAGTTCTGTTTTCTAGCACTTTGACCACGCGCAGATGTTTTAGTGTTCAATCACCTGTGCAGATGTTATCAGCCAGCAGTAGTTACTGGATTTTATCCTTAAACAGTGGAGCAAAAGGACTATTTTCCTTCTTTGGTCACTGGTGCAGTAACAGTGGTTAAAGAGAAAAAGAAAGACTTAAAAATAAACAATTAAAAAAAAAAAACTTGTTGCTTAGCAGCTTGTTTAGTGTAACCCATCTTATACTTAGAAGTGATTTACAGGCACCTTCGCCCTCACTGGTGTGTATTCTAGGCAAGGCAGAGGTACAAGTCAGCAATTTCTGGCTACCTGTGCAAGAGACAACTTCCAAGTATAATTAACAAAGTTTTTAGCTAAAGGGGCCCTCAGCAATTCTAGGAAGCAGTTAGATTCCTGGTTTACCAAAGCACTGTAAAATCTGCCGGCTGTCAACATCTAGATTCTGGAGAGACTAGCTATGGGAAGGTATAGCAAGAAATCCTAAGACAACTGCATGCTCTTGGAAGCTGCTGGTTGTAAAACAAAGCTTGACAGCTTATGAGTCCACGCTCTTTGCTCTTCCCTTACTGCTTCAATGGGATGGTTGTTTCTCAGTTCAACTTCATTGTGTCAGAAGGTTCAGAGGGTTTCAAAAAGAACTTATTCCTGGTCTGTTTGTTCATTATCTTTGCTCCAACATGGTCTGATGTATCTCCCTGCTACGGTCAGAACTGCAACTCTTTTTGTCTTCAACTTTGCTGTGCTAAGCCTACCTTAACCTCTTATAGGATATGCTTAGATTTGTAGCTAAACTTAGAACGAGAAAACCCCTAGCTTCATCACCAGGTGATACCAACTACCAAATAGTGGTGTGACTAGTACCAGGCTGCAGTAGACTTATTGCAAAACTTTGAGATATATTTGGGTGTAGCAGTCTCTTTTTGCACTTGACTCGGTCTTAACTACCTAAGTCCTTGTTGTTTATGAACAAATTTGATTGTAGGTCCTTTGCATTGTAGGTTCTTCTGATGTCTTAAGTAAAATAGATAGATATGAAATTTGTCCATGTACTCAGTAGAAATAAGGGGAACTGAATTGGCTGCTTTCATAGCAGTATTGGGTGGTTCCCTGAATATTTCTCTGCTTATTCTTGCTTTTTTAGTCTCTAGTGTCATGTGGTTAAAATCTAGTCTAAATTTGAATTTGAGTTTTTACTAAAACTGTCCACAGCATACGCCTTCCCTGCCCTCCCCCTTTGCCCAGAGAAGAGAAAGCTTGCAGGGAGGGATAAGAGGATTGGTTGCACTGAAGAGCAAATAAATCAGGATTTGGTGGTGCAGGCTATTTTGGCTGTTGGTAAGGAAGAGAATGATGAATGTAGTGCCTGTGTGCTGGGGATTGGTGCACTGGCAATCTCGACTGCATAACTTTGTTTTGAAACTTTGCTTTGATGGAAAAGCGTTAGAACACAGTTTGTTCTAAAACTATTTCTGGTTTGTATACATCAGCTGTAAAGCATTTTTTCTTCCCTTTTCAATTGATGGGAATGCAAATAGAAATGAATTCTCAAACACCTTGGTGTATCTGAGGGCCTTAAAATTAGCCTAGTCAAAACTTAGCAGTCATCCCCATGTTCAGGCAGGAGTGTTTCTGTCTATTCCTAAGAATCTGCATAAGGTTTTCCAGCAATGTTCAGGAGTTGTGAATAGGATCAGCACTGTTTTACAGCCGCCTTTGAGGGGAAGAGCCTTTGCTGGTTAAACTATTGGCGTGTCCTTAAGATGTACTGATGTTTTCCTGCTTCTGTGAGATGAAATTGCAAACTTCCTTGCTGCTGTTCCCTTTTCACTTTCATTTTACATGTGAAAACATGCTTACAAGACTTCACCGTTGAGATAGCGCATCGTAGAACGTGTCTTTTAAATGACAATTCATGATCTTATGTCTGTCTTGCTTTTTATGTCAGAGGCCTAATATTGTTATGAAATCTTAACTGCATAGTAAGCTACACCTAAATCATTTCTTCAGTGTTTACAGAGATCTTCCTCCTTCCAGAAGGACCTGGAGGTCAGTAGATGGCTGTCTTGGGATTATTCTGCTGTCCTGTGAAGTGTCTGCACTTATTAGTGCATGTGTTAGTTCAGTATGCATTCTTTTTGCCTTAGCATGTAAGGTCATCCTTGCATTCTGTCTGTTTTGCATCCTGCCCTCTGAGTATGCCAGGGACTGTGCCTTATTTGCCCAAATATCCATGGAGACTAGAACAATATTGTTCTATATCCGTTGGCCTTCTGCAGTAGGCTAAGTTCTTAATGCTTCCTGGGACTTCTCTGACATTTGTCCTTCAAGTGGAAGAACTTGGATGTCTGGTTGTGTGCATCAAGGTCTGGAACATCTTTACTTTAGTGAAAGCTGCTGAGATATTCTATGCTCAGAAAGCTAAGCTCATAAACTGTAACCGACTGTCTCGCATGTGGCAATATTAGTTGGGGTAGAATAAACTCTTATCCTGCAAAACAGGAAGGTTTATGTTCTCCTAGTAAACTGTTAAGAGCTGGGAATGCTTTTCTGGCAGAAGGCTTGTAACTGCTGGCAGTGGAGCTTCCGGAGGCTTGGGAGCTGGTCCCTAGCTGGAGACAGATGTGGCTTTTCTTTACTTGGCGCCTGTGTTGTAATGATGCATCTTCTGTCTTCCAGATCAGTGTGCGCGTTACCACCATGGATGCTGAGCTGGAGTTTGCCATCCAGCCCAACACTACAGGGAAGCAACTCTTTGATCAGGTAAGTGATGGAGCTGCAGAAGACCTACAGTTGGTACCGATGATGTGATTTCCTTGAGACAATAGTAAACACTTTCTTAAGGGCTTCAAAGATTAAACAATAGTATAGTATCCTCAAGAGAACTCAGCATAATCAAAAATTACATACTTTTCTCAAAACTAATGCACTCTTTTAGCTCCGGGAGTTCTGGAGCCTGTTTTGACCCCTAAGAAACTCAACTGTTGCTGTATCTCATCAGGAGGATTGGAAAGCAGTAGGTGTCTGTGATAATTCATAAAATAGGAACTGTCTTGTAGGGGAGCTAAGCTTTCGTTGGTTGGCTTACGTTCACGTGTTGTATAATGGATTTCAAAGAGCAGTTGGTCTCTGGAACAGAAGCAGAGTTGGGGTTTCAAATGTTGCTGCAACTCTTAAGTGCAGGTGAAACATTGTTCTGTCTGATACTGCCATCAGGCTCTGAGGGAAATCTTTGTAAAAAAGTTATGTACTGCGTTGTGTTGAGCTGTCTTCATCTGGGTGCCTAAGCCTTCCTCTGCATTCACTGGCTGGGCAGATTTCCTCTTACTTTGGGCCAAACAGAAGCAGGGAGACGTGTGCAGCCCAAACTTGGAGCAGCTGAAGAGGGATGTTACCAATTGCAGCTGTTGAAACTTTGACAGGCCCCACTAAATGTCTAGGCTGTAATCCCAAAGGCCATATCTAGGCAACTGCCTTCCCCTCAGAGCATCTGTTTCACTAGCGAGTGAGGCAGTCTTGTCTTGCAGATAGCAGAGGCTTTGTCAGCTCACTGAGGAAGAGGTCAAGCCTTTGCTACTTGGAGAGGAATCTGAACAAGTTAATAGCTTAAGGAAAAGGAGTCTTAGAGTAATGACAAGGTGAAGGAACTGCCAGACCAGACATGTCAATTTTCTAGGGCCAGCTTTACGTTGCACCAGTTTTAATGAAGAAAGTTAAGTTGAGGGCTGACCTACCCATGGAAGTCAGCTATCTCATTTGGGTCCAGAAACCTATGTTATTCACTCTTTTATTTTTAACCACAACAGCTGCTACTTCGTCTCATACTCGTCTGGGTGATTCAACACTAGGTAACGCAGTGCTCTCTGCAGCCCAGCCCTGAGAGAAAGGGGAGCAGGGTGAGATCCTAGTCTCTTGATAAAGAACACCCTTTCACAACGGGAAAGGCAAGTAAGGCTTTCAGGAAGGTGCTCAGTTGCATTGTAGTTTCTCAGCTGTCTGCATATTATCGCATAGGTCAGTGGCTCCCAGACTTGAGATCACATGGGGCTAAAAGAAGTCTGACTCATTTGGTAACGGAATTGAGTGCTGGATTCTGCCTAGAATTCATGTGCACAACATACCACAGTTAGTTTTATTGGAATACGCTTCCATAACATGATTTAACATACTCCAACTTCATCAAAAGGTGAGCTATTATTTTTTTTTTGGGGGGGGGGTCCCCTCAGTTGGATGCTTCTTTGTGATTATTTTTCTATATCTAATTTCTGACACAGTTATCCAAATAAAGCAGCTGGTGCTAAAAAAGCACTACTACTGACTTCAGTGGTATTTCTACTCTGCAAGTGAATTTTTCAGTCAGCTCGTGTCCATCTGCAGCTTTGCAGCTTTTGCCGCCCTTGACGTAGAGCACAAACTGAAATTGTAGTGCCAAACTTGGACTTGAGCAACTTGTCTGTATTTGAGAAGCATCGGATCATGCTTCTTGTATGGGAACTTTTCATGTCTTAGTAATTGATTTCACTCATTTGTGTCATGCTCTTGACCAGCTGTATGTGCTCCTCTCTGCAATGCATTTCACACTGCACCTGTCTAAACAGAAGTTTTATTTTGTTTTTCCATGGTAAACATTGTGTGAAGGGAGAAAACAAACATGACTGCAGAACTAAGTTTCTGAGCTGCTAATGTAAATGAGGCAGGGTTTGCTTCAGCTGGCCTGGGTTGTAGGTGGAGTTGCGAGAGGGAGGGAAGAGGAACTAAAGAAATACTGTAGCTTCAAGTGCAGAGGAAAAGAAAATGTATTATGTCTAAAGCTAACTTATAAGTGTAAGCTATTTCTAAAAGGTCCAGTGTACACCACTTCTTGAAACTGTCCGCGTATCATAGACTTGCTTGGATGAGTGCTGTAGCCACAAGAATTAAGCCGTTTTCTGTTGTTTAGCACACAAGATTTCTTTGTAGTGCTACACATACACATACACATGTAGTGCTTTTGGTTCTTGATAGGACTAATCTTGAAATGACTGTCCTGGAGCCTCACCAGTGACCGAGTGTAGGCTTTGACTACGTGATTCAAGACCTACACAGCAGTGATTCAGAAGGGAGGTAGAAAGAGCACTGCTCTGCCAGGGCTCGGGAGTGCAGGGAGCTGGCAGTACATGTGGGGGTGTCAAGTGTTCCATCTTTGGGATGGATTAAGGCACTTTGGAGGCTACTGCTATGTCAGTGGATCAATGGGGAAGGTAATCCTAGCTTCTGTTACTGACCTGCAGTTTAATAAGTGGCTCTGGATAATTAAGGAAACTGTGAAGGAAGTACCTATTCAGCTTCTGCCACAATGGGAAACTTTTCATTCTGGCCCTAGAATACAAATACACACCGGCCTGCTTATTTCTTGATGGGAAATCCAAGGCTCTTCCCTATTGCAGAAGAGATTTTTAGTCAGACTTCCACAGTAAATGAGGCTACAATTATTGGGGAGGGGGAGAGCAGGTACTTCTGGTGTATGGACGTGCTCAAACAAATTCTTAATCTTTGCATAAAGAGCTACCTGAATACCAAACGAAAACATGAGTGCTTCCAGTGAGCCTATAGTAAATAACTAGACTTGCTTGGTTAATATCAGGACAGGGCTTGAGCCATCTTAAACTACTGGGCTATGAAACTTACTGATCAACATATGACAAGTCTTACTGAGTGTGAGGTGATGAAAGGATCCAATAACAAGGAGCCTCTGGTATTTAGTTATCAAAGATATCAAAGATCATCTGGAGGCAAAGACATGAACAGGGGGAGCTCTTCTGTGCCAACCGTGTAGATGCAAATGCTGCTCTCCACTGTAACCAGATCAGGTGACACGTTGCAACCAAATCGCCTCATCTCCTGGCCCATTCTCAACAGATTGCTATAGGCTTCTTACTCTTCCATAAACTTTCCTTTCCTTGGTTTTATAAAGTGCTGTGCTTTCATCTATACTGACTTTACCCTTAATTATTTGTTCTCCTCCACCCTCCTGTCTCGGTTCGCTGCCCTCTAAAACTAACACCTGCTGACCTCACTCTTTAGAGCATTTAGGCAAAGTGAGGTCTTGTAGCTTAGCCACTTTTTTTTTCCTGTCTTCTCTTTCTTAAAAAAATTTTTACGCTGTCAGCTGGCACATACCCAGTATGTTTCAAATGTCTGAGCCAGTGTCTAGATTAGTTCCTGCAAAAAGGCTAGCTGAGCTATTCTCCCTGCTGACATTGTTAATGGGCACTAAGCAATAGCTGCTGTCTGGTTAATAGTCTGCTCACTGTGTCTCATCCTGAGAAGATCTTGGGTCCCATGGTGGGATGTATAAGAACAAGGTTATAGCTATCTGTATTCTGATTGCCTTAAATTAGAACGTGCTCCGGCAATTGCTAATCTAGTATTTTCTGTATGATACTGGTGCTAAGCAGTGGCTGCCTTCATCAAGGCTTTTGGGGGGTAGGGCGAGTTTCTCTGTAAGGCTATCTTAAGGTTTTGCTGTTGCAGCATATAGACTTTCTGGTGTGAAATCTGATTTTGACCCTTTCCCAGAAGGATATTAAGATGTCTTGATTTTTTATTTTATTTTATTATTTTTTTGCCCTAGAGTACCCTTTCGCTTTGAGTGAACCATTAGATCTGAGTTAGGAAAAGAGGAAGCTACTAACTTTTACCAAAGTTTCTAGCTACACAACTATTACAGTGCAGGCAGCTTGCTCAGTAGCATTCAGGCAGTGTCTGTTTCCACCTATTGTGTTTAAAGGTGGAATAAATATGTTTGTTATCCTGCACTTACTTGCCCACTCTGAATAGGATTTAAAGGATTTCTGGAAAGCTTCTATCTAGTTAATGGCTTCATGAGGAAGAGCAGTTTGAGGCTGTAGAGATAAAGTTCCATAGTAATGGTAGGTGAATGGGCTTTTGGGTAGAAATGCTCCCATCTTCCTCTTTCCTGTCTAGTTAAAATGCTAAGGTGAATTTTTGGAGTGACAGAACAAGGCAGATGCTACGCCACTTTGTTAGAAGTCTGCTGCTGCCCCGAGGTAGCTGGATCTAGAAATATCCTTATGAGCATAGTAAACAGCATAGTAACAGCATGCTTTATTATTAAAGGTATCTTCCTATACCACTCCCTCCCCTAAGCTTGCAATTATACAGCTTTAGCTTAAATAGCAATTGGTTTTGTAGTTGCTGATGATCAGCTAGAGGTACCTCAAGCCAGATTTGGATGCCTGCAAGTTTAAACAAAAATCTGGATTAACTGAGACCAGAGGATTGTACAAGTCTGTCTTCTCCCAGGTTATCTGTCACTGCTTCCACCTTGCATACCTCAACACTAGCTGCTGAGCTCCAGCATGTACTAGCTCACTAGCAAAAATATTAGCTCCACCAAGGGAGAAATGGCATTCCTCAGCTGCTGCTGGTGGATTCAATGAAGAGTTTGAGTATGGGCTGTGCCTACTGGAGGGTGCTGCTTACCCCACTGGCAGTGAATGACCTACTGCCTTACGATACCTTAGCATGCTGCTTTCCTAGGTGTGCAGGGCACAGGTACGGGACTGCAACAGGGGGAGCTGATGGTTTTTCCCTCTTTGATCCTTTTCTGCAGCAAACTGAAATGTAGTTTGACTGGAGACTAGTGTGCAAAGCATTGCATTGCTTAGTACGTCTCCTATATGGGAAAGATTAACGTTATGATACTGCTGTAGATAGCTTTGAAGTCCTGTCCCTCTGTTGTGTCGGGTTCCCCCCCCCCT